GGGGATTGGGGGGGCTTCGGGTTCCGGCACAATGGGTTTGGGGCTTTGGGATTTAAGGGTGTAGGACTTCCAGGATTACACGGGTGTTTGGGTTCGGTGGGGCTTGGCCCCTTAGGGGGGGGGGCTTCTGGATTTGAGGTTTGGTGTTTATGGGTGTCGGGTTTCCTCTCTCATGGCTTCCGAGCTTGCAGTATTAGGCTTGTCTTTGAGCCTGGGGTTTAGAGTTTAGGGGTATTCATACTTCGGGGTTTAAGGGTGATGGGTTTTGGTGCTTTTGGTTTTGGGTTACACGTACTTCTACACGTTGAAACATACAAGCACAGGCACACAGACACATAAGGCACCTTTATCCATATATATATATATATATGTTGCAGACATACAATGTGTTCTATACATACACACGTATGCGTGTGCATCTCTCTCTCTCTCTCTCTCCCTCTCTCTCTGTGTATATATATATATATGTATCAAAACATACGTTCTTATAATTCTAACAATGTATGTACAATGTCTTGCAGTTGCTTTTGTAGCAGCACAGTTTTAAATACTGTCGTGGTGTTTATTTTTGCAAAAGCGCCGGCTTGAGTGATACTATAACGGAGTTAAAGCAACTGGCTTCGGTTTTAACACTGTTGTTGTGTTCTAACGTTTGTTTTGTGTCCTTTGAAATTTAGTTTTGTTTTGTGACAATTTGAAGAATTGTCACGAAACAATCATAAATCTGGGCACCAAAACTATATAAATGTTCAAAACGTTTTAATGGCGGTTATACAAATTTTGAATAATTTTTATAGGTTTTATAGAATATGTACAAAAAATTATGAATGTGCATAACAAATTATCAAAAAAATCTATCAAATTTTTTACGACTCTTACATTTTTTGATAAATTTCTATACAATTTTTAAAAAATTTTGTAAAAAACAAAGAACTTTTATACAGACTTTAAAAATTTTTATAAAATTTTGAAGAATTTTGCATGATTTTTACCAAAATGGCGGTCCAGTTTCGGTCCAGTTTCGGTCCGGTTTCATGAAAACTGGACTCCGGTGGTCCGGTTTGAGTCCGGTTTCTATGAAACCGGACCACCGGGGTCCAGTTTTCATGAAACCGGACCGAAACCGGACCGAAACTGGACCGCCATTTTGGTAAAAATCATGCAAAATTCTTCATTTTTTTATAAAATTTCTTCAGAATTTTATCAAAATTCTTCAAAATTTTAGACAAATTCTTAAATTTTTTATGAACAATCTTAAGAACTTTATAGAAGTTTATTACACAAATCCATCAAATTTTAAGAAAATGTAGACAGTTGTTAAAAATTCTGGAAAAACTATTATAACAGTTCTATACAAATTTTACAAACTTTGATAATAATCAAAAAAATCATAGAACACATTAAGACTGTGATAAATATTGTCAAGCATTTTCAAAACTTTTTAGAAATTCTCAAAACAACCCATAATGCTATGCATGAAACAGTGATTTTGTAAAACAAAATTATGGAAAATATACAGAACAGTCTATGTTTTGCAACAGGACATATTGTACAACTAAAAGAATGGTTCTGAAACTCAAAACAATACTTTTCCAACAAACAAACACTAGTACGTTTCCTCTGTGTCTAATCGTCGTTAGCCATCTGTTTATATACGTATATACCGTCAACCTACCAATACACCAAACCCTCAAACCCCTACACCCCGACCCGAAGCCCTAACCCAGAAACCCCAAGCTCTCAAACCCCTACACCCCAACCTCAAGCCGCAACCCAGCAACCCCAAGCAGTCAAAACCCTACATCCCCATCTCAAGCCCTAACCCAGAAACTGCAAGAAGCCCTGAGCCTAGCAACCGCCCAAGCCCTCCAAAACCCCGAACACATCAACACTCAACCTGAAGTCCCGAAGCCGCCCAAAGGCCAAACACCAAAACCTTTGAACACCGAACCCAAAGACCCCTAATCCAAGAAACCCTACACCCCTAAACCCCTCAAACCATACCCCAAAACCTAGTACCACGGAACCCTAGCCCCCTCAATCCAGAAACCTTGAACACCAAAACCCAATAAATGTATCCCGTAGAACTACCTACACAACCCGGAACCCATTAACACGCAACCCCAAGCCCCTTCAACCCAGTTAGCTTAATCCCCTAAACCCCCCAGCTCAAACCCCAAAACACGTATTCCAAAGACCTACCTATAGCAAGCCTGTACCAGGGGACCATGCTAACCCAAAGACCTAGCTACCCTGCTACACTTCTCAAAAACCCCAAACCTGGGGATATGATTTGTTAGTTAGAGTCATCTGAGGTGCCAGCCGTATGTTAGCTAGATGCAAGAAGATCTAAGTAGCAAACAAAATCGACACATACAAGAGCTAGGTACACGGAGTAACTAAGTCACAATCAACAAGCAACAATGAAGACAAACCAAACAAATTCGCAGTAACACACATGGAAAATCAGTTGTTCCGTGCACAAAAACACAGCGAAAACACGCATTCGTTCAACTTAGCACAGATCTGCTACTTAGAAAAACATATCAATTTCAATGTTCTATGCAAAAAATCTATCAAACTGGATGCTAATCAATAGTAGTTTGTCAAACACAGTAAGCAGTTTTTAAGCTATATTCAATAGTAGGATATAGGCTATTTCAGATATAACCTATAAAATAACCTATAAAATAACCGGAAGAATAACCCATAGTTTATTTATATAAATAACCTATATAGGTTATTTTTGCCATATAGGATATATGTCCCAAAATAGCCTAACCTGGTCTTAGAGGTTCCTGTAACCCAGCCTTATCGCTCACGCGCAAGTCCGCTGGCAAGATCTGGATACTGTCCCCGAGGGCCAGATCCTTGCAAGGCTCTTTGCACAACGCGTGCGTTTTGCCCCCTTCTTCCCACGCAAGCTGGTCGGCTTGGCACGCTTGTGCGTGATCGTCGCCTTCACTCTCGGTCTCCGACCACTCGATCATGCAGGAGTCGGGAGGGCTCGGGACCGTTCTCTCCTCCCGGGCGCGGACCGCGCCGCGGGCGTGAGCCACAGCCGCAAAACTGACAACATCGGCGCCGGAAGGAGCAAATGCAGCCACCCAGCGACTTCCAGAGGTAGTATCCTTGGGCGCTGAGGAGCCACGTAGCAGTAAGGCACCTACCGAAGGGCCCTTTTCCTGCCAGCTCTGTGAGGTCCAGCTCTACCTCCCGAGGCACAACGGAGCTTGAAGTGACATGCACCTCCGCCGCTTCCGGTGCTGTGCAAGGTGATTGGGAGCAGAGGTGCACCCGGCAATTCGCTCCCTCCAAAGAGTGCCGCCAGTAGCGGTGTGAGCTCCCATGCACCGTGTCACAGGGGCAGGTAAACCCGTGCCGATTTGTACGCCCGCGGATGGTGCCGTGCCGCAGGCGGGCAAGTGCAGTCCCGTCCGTGACCAACAAGTCGAAAGGGGCTTGGCAGGTTCCCCTGCCTCGAACTTTGTCTTGGATGTACTGGGCGGTCCATGCCACCTGTCCCGTGGGACCGTACCACACCAGTCGAAACGGCGTGCGGCCGTGATGGGTCAAAACCTCATCCCACGGAGCGCGGCCCACGAGGTACTGAGCCAAGACGTAGGCGAACCTCGTCAGTGGCCGAAGGACCCAAACATAGGTCCAGTAGGCAAGCTGCGCGAGAGCCACCAATACCATGCCCGCCATAAGCCAGTAGACCCATTTGGCCGCCAGGCCTATGGAGACACACAGTATTCCACAGTACTCGATTCCCCCTTTTACAAACATGAGCAAGAATTTCATCGCGACTCGGAGGAACCAAGGGGGCGAGGGATCATCTTCTCGCGACCCTTCCTCTCCGGAATCCACGGCGGGGTCCATTGTGGATATTTTAACCCACAATTTCCACCATTCGCTCCACCAGCTGGCGTTACCCGGGCGCGAAGTCGCGCCACAGGTGCCATCCTGGTGTGCACACGTTTGGGGAGTTTCGGGTAGGCTATGGTTGGTAAACCATGGCCATTGCCACGGTAGTGTGCTATGAATTTGGCTGCAATAGAGCAGCGCACTCAGTAGGGGCCTCATCTACCCTTGAGCCCGTGCTACGGGTAACAGGAAACTCTACGCCTACACGGCTATACAAGGCTACCAAGAATTGAAACACTGATGTGTCTTGGAATCCTCCTCCTGGAAATCTTGGGATGATAAACTTTAACCGATACCCGCACGGAAAGCACGACATATCGGAACTTTAGTGCCATGACGGATGCTAATGAGCCTTTTCGGAAGATTCGTTGTTCCTTCAGCTGGTAGTGCATGGCACTGTCATTGTTATATACTACCAGTACTCACTAAACCCTGAGCCCTGAATTCCCAGCTGGGGTCAGAAAAACGGGTCAAGAGGGTCAAAAAAACGGAGGGGGGTCCAAAAAACAAGGTGGCGGGGTCAAAAAAATGAGGGGCCCGAATTCCCACTGCAATACTGAAGTTCAATGGCTCACGCCTACCAAACGTACGCCGCAGAAGCCAAGGTCCCTAATTTAGGGGCCTTAGGTAAGAATAGGGTTCCTTTAAAGGGGTCGATAAGGGATCTACGGAAAGGTTCTATGATATAGGGGCCTTTATGATAAGAGTAGGGTTTTGGGGGGCCATTACAGTATAAATAGAATAAAGAACCCCCACAATAGTGGCAATTATTTAAGCCCCTATAGAAAAAATCTCCTGTTCGACCAGCTTCATGATCTGCAGTCGCTTCTGACGGTCCAGGAGGCATACCAGGATATCGCTGGAAATGATCACGAGCACCATGAAAACCGCGGAGGTCAGAATCCAGACTCTTCCCAGAGCCTTCGTTGAGTCGCACCTTCCCTCCCATCGTGGGAAGCTCGGCAGATTAAATGTCAAGGAGACTTCAAAAAGCTGGAGGTCCGGCAGTGAGAAGTCGGGGAGGCCCAAATCCAAGCGCAAGACGAACGTCGACAACATGGACCCCAGTATCTTCACATCCAAGACAAAGCAGGCAAAGCTTGCAAAGAGCGCAAGCAGAACATCACACAAGACTGAAACGCACTCGCGAAGGCCATCGAGCTTGATCTTGCTCGCAGTCGTAGCTTCGGGCTGCGATGCCAAGCCGCCAGGCTTGGCCACATCCCCTGTTTCTTCAGGATTAGCTGGCTCTCGCTGCCATCCTGGAGCTGAGATAACACGCTCAGGTGGGTGATGCGGCTGAGACTCACCAACACGCCCATCAGGACACAGACTGCAGGGTTCACGACCAGAAACGCTGGAAGAAAGACCAAGCCTGCGATGCCGCAGTAGGTCGACAGCGCCAGGGCCACGATGTTCAGCATAGCCTTGGCCAGCTTCCGGGACGCTGGTGCCTCAAATGGGGCTGGCCCAAAATGAGGAGGCGGCGGCAGCAGAAGATTGCAGCGGCCAAATTCGTCCTTCGGCCAGCCGAAGAGGGGAATTGTCATGGTATGCATGACATAGAGCGCTCCGAAAGTGGTGGCCACTGCTTAATAGCTTGACTTTTGTATCTTCTGGCAAATAGGCCCCGCAGAGAAACCCATTCGGGTGCTCAGCACTTCAAATAAAATGAGGCTCAAAAGCATCAGTCCGAATGCTCGTGCGACCCAGGCCAGGTAATAGCTGGCTTCCGCCAAAACTTCGAAGAACGTCTCGAGAAAATCCAGACTGAAGGTAGCTGCACCCTGCCTTCAGAGTCGATCTGAATGCCTAAACCCTAAACCCTAAACACTGAACCTGCAAGGCAGAGCCCGCCAACAGATCGGAGGCCCCCTCACTACATTCAAAAAGTGCCCACCTCTTTGGCAGCCGAGGTGCGTTTGCAGGTGAGCTGACTCCATCCAGGCTGCTTGCCCCCGCAACAGAGGTGCTCTGACTGTGGCCAGAAGCCGGAATGCTGGGCGGCGAGGCCATTAAACGTAGTAGGACTGTGCTATGGCTATGGCTGCAGCCGAAAACTTGAGACATGCATTCCTAACTTGAGACATGCATTCCAAACTTTCCAGCACCTCATACAATGGGTGAACCAGTCTTCCAACTTTCAAGTTGCCCACTTTCAAACATGAAGCTTTCCAACTCTGGTCCGTTTCGGATGGCTTTTCTGGATTACCAGCTCCTTGCAGGAACGAACCAAATCCGCCAAAAGAAACGGTTTCAGGGATTTCAAGGGTCTCTTCAAGTCCCCAAGCCCTTAACTATCTTGCCTTTTTTCAAGTCCTCTCACCCTTTGATCCGAGTCCGGCGCTTTCCCTTCTTCTTCGGGACCGAGGTCGGCGACGGGGGGCTGTCGAAACCTGATGTAGGGGCCTGAATAAATAGAAAAGGGTTTTGAACATTGTATACTAGAGTTATAATAAGGGGCCCCAAAAACGGCATAGGTAATTATTAAGGCCCCTATAGTACTCACTCTGGCCGCGGTTTGGGGTTCAGCGTTTAGGGTCTCTGGCGCGGAGATTCTGATCTTGAGATACTTATGGAATGAAGCTTGGTTACAACCTTTCGGTGTGACATTAGCCCAATACTGCCTTATCTCTGCAAACTCCCTGAGGCCTAATTAGAGCCTAGCAAACTATATAGTACTATATACTATATAGTAGGTTACTGGGGTACAATTTTAAGGAACCAGTAGCCCACTGCGTATGTCCGTCCCCAACTGGCTCGCAACCCCTCGACTGCTACAACAAACCGTTGAGTCGCGCACCTGGAGCTATGCACCACGCAGTCTAGGGCACTATTCGCATCACAAGCACGAGGACAGTAGCATCAGCAGCAGAAGTAGTCGTCGTAGTCGTAGTCGTAGCCGTAGCCATAGCAGAAGAATATAGAAGGAGCGACAGCGTCAGCGGCAGCAGCAGCAGCAGCAGTAGTAGCCTAGCAGTAGCAATAGCATGTAGCAGTAGCCGCAGCAGCAGGAGGTGCAGCGGCAGTGGCTGTAGCAGGGTCATTGTGCAAAGACCGAAGAAGAAACATCACAACGAAATGCTAGCAACACTGTGCTGAGTAACAGAAGTATAATTACCAGTAGAAGCATAGCGAAAAACACCACTAGTTTTGTCAAAACCGTACTTGGCCCAGGCACCTGCAGCACCCTTGCCTGCCTTATTCTCAGCTGAGCGGTTGCTGGGAACCTGAGCCATGATGATGCAGAGGCGGGGTGTTAACTACACTGGGATTTGAATGGAGTGACAGGGGGAGACAGACCCTAGCACAAACATCTGAGAAGCTGCAGTACCCAATTGCTATGACTCTGGCCGAAAACACTATGTGCAACCCTTTATTCCTTGCGGTTTGGACCCGAATCCGCAAATAACCCGAGACCCTAAACCCTAAACCCCTAAACCCCCAAACCCTAAACCCCTAAACCCTAAACCCCTAAACCCTAAACCCCTAAACCCTAAACCCCTAAACCCCTAAGCCCTAAACCCTAAACCCCTAAACCCTAAACCCCAAAACCCAGGTCCCGAGCGGCCCTTCGGGGTCGGTCTGCACTGGAGGATGAGGCGTGGGAGGCATTGGAGCCCTCCGCGTCGCTGTCGTTTTGCCGCATAGGGCCCACCTTGGGATGGCCTAGGCACAGTGTAGGGGATGGTCTGGGCACAGCCTAGGGGATGGCCAGGCAAGGCACAGCCTAGGGGATGGCCTAGGCAAGGCACAGATGGCCTAGGCACAGCTTGGTGCCTACTTGGAGGATCATGGGACTTAGTAAGTAAGGTTAGAAGTACCTTGTTATAAGTATGGTTATCCTAATTATAACCCTAGTTACTGAGTCCCATGATCCTTAAAGTATCCTGCTTAGGGAGTTGGGTTTATAAGCTCTAGGATGTTTTAGGGTTTAGGATTTAAGGTTTAGGATTCGGAAGGGTTTAGGGTTTAAGGGCTTAGGGCCTGGTTCAGGAAACCCCAAACCCTAAACCATGGGAGTCGCCTCAGCACCGCCTGCCGCCGGAGCGATTCGTCAGGCCGCTAGCACTGCGCTTTGGCATCACGCTGCATGGCAGAACCGTGGCATGCTATAGTTTTGTTAAAAAGAGCCTATAATTCATGTCTCAGCTTTCACAAAGGCCACAAGGCTATAATGCAAAAATCAACCTATGCTTTCGGCTTCTTGAGTTGAACTTGGCACTTGCGGCATTGGTGGACCTGCCTGCGCGCAAGAAGCTGCTAGCTGTTTGGCGGCATACAGGCGCCGGTGCAGTGAAGTGGTATGGCCCGGCAGCGAGCTAGCTGAGATCTGTCATCTTCTCTCTTAGTCTGTATTTGGAAGCACTGGCAGACAAATGAGCCGCGGAAAAATGTTATCTGCTTCTTGCCCTATAAACACCGACTCTGATTCCCTAAACCCCAAAGAACATCACTACAAGCATTATGCATTAAGTCCTAAAACCTAAACCCCAAACACTGAACCCTAAACCCTCAACCCTGTACCTAAACCCGAAACCCTGTACCCTAAACCCTGTACCCTAAACCCTAAACCCGTAAAACCTAAGCCCTAAACCCCAAACAAGCCCTAAACCCTCAACCCTTTACCCTAAAGCCTCAACCCCAAACCCTAAACCCTCAACCCTAAAGCCTCAACCCTGAACCCCAAAACACAAACCCTGACACATCGAGATCCGCCAGACTCCGGCCCGAAACAGAGAACCCTTGAATATTGAAAGCATTCCCTCGCTCATCTCGGGGTTTTTATAGTTCGAGTAGGGTTTCTTTAAAGGTCTAGAAGGACTACTTTGAGGGATCTTTAAGGGTACTGTATTGTAATGGTTTTCAAAATTACGACAGGGTTTGGCGGTATGTACTAAGGGACACTCAAAGACCAGTTCTAATCATCCAGCGCCCTATATTAAGTCGAATTGTCACGGAACATAGAAGCCTCTGATATGCCCGAATAATTCTCCGAAGCATGAGCTATTCTATAGACTGAAAGCAAGAGCCCTCAACCCTACAGCATTTTAGACTTGGAAGTAACTAGGGTTCCTCAAAGGGCTCCTTAAAGGGATCCGTAGGGTTTCTTAAAGGGATCTATGGGGTTTAGGGTTTAAGGCCTACTTAAAGGATCATGGGACTTAGTTACTAGGGTTATGATTAGGGTAATTATACTCATATCTACTTATAACCCAATTAAGGTACTTATAAGCTTACCTACTAAGTCCCATGATCCTCCGAATAAAGCAATTTAGACTTGGAAGTATATGTATTTACTACGTAGTTGTACACCTGGAGCCTTTGGGATCATGTAAAATGTAGAAACTGCTGAAGGCGTCAAGATAATTACCTCAAGGGCCAAAGCCCTAAGAACCCCAAAACTCAAACGCGAAATCTGCAGCTGCCCTAAGCCCTAAACTTGCCCTAAACCCTAAACCTGCCCTAAAACCCTAAACTTGCCCTAAAACCCTAAACCCACCTCTTGATCCTCCGGCACCTTTGTGCCCTCCGCGCAGGCCACGGTCACGTCAAGCCCGGCCTCGGGGAAGACCGCTAAGGGTTGAAGGCGTCAGGGGCTGTACTTCTAAGAAAGTAGGGTTCTGGTTAGGGTAACTATACTCATAACTACTTATGACCCCAATTCAGGTACTTATAACTTTACCTACTAAGTCCCATGATCCTTTAAGTAGGGCTAGGGCTCGGGTTTACGGGCTTCATGGCTGCAGGGAGAGATTCAGCTTTTTGCGGTTTGATTCGGGTGTTTGAGACTTTCACCAGATACTTGCGCAGGCCGTCCCACAAACTAGGCTAGCAGGTTTGGTAGCAGTTTAGTGTGTGAGGGTTCGGGGGTTAGGGTTTAGGGACTACACCCGTAAACACTCATCTGAACTCAACCCTCAGCCCTGAAACCCTGAACCCCAAACCCTGCCCTAAACCCTGAACCCTTAAGCCTAAACCCAAAAACCATAAACCCGACCCTAAACCCTGTACCACAGGGACTCGACTGGCAGAGCTTCTTCCGCAGGCACTTCGCTCGCGGCCTTCTCAAAATACGACAGCAAGAATGAACCTTCTACTTGAACCTTAGGGATCTGACGGATGATGCCTTATGCGCAGCCGTTTTTGCATGCACATGATGTATGATGTATGCACTTCCTTCCATCCCTCGTTCATTCATTCATTCATTCATCCATCCATCCATCCATCCATTCATTCATTCATTCATTCAGTCAGGCAGGCAGGCAGGCAGGCATTCATTCATTCATTCATTCATTCAGTCATTCAGTCATTCAGTCATTCAGTCATTCAGTCATTCAGTCATTCAGTCATTCAGTCATTCATTCATTCATTCATTCATCCATCCATCCATCCATCCATCCATTCATTCATTCATCCATCCATTCATTCATTCATCCATTCATTCATTCATTCATTCACTCATTCACTCACTCATTCATTCATTCATTCATTCACTCACTCATTCATTCATTCGTTCATTCATTCATTCATTCATTTATTCATTCATTCATTCATTTCATTTCATTTCATTCATTTCATTCATTTCATTCATTCATTCATTCATTCATTCATTCATTCATGCACGCATGCATGCATGTATTATTTCATGTTTATATTATCCACAAATACATACATACCTCCGTCCGTCTGTCCGTCCGTCCATCCGTCCATCCATGCAGCATGCATGCATGTATATGTTTGTAGACAGATACAGATGCAGCTACACATATAGTATAGAAACATCAAATTTAATATTGTATAATACAATATAAAATGGTATTTTTCAATATTCTATAATATATTATGATATGATGTGATGCTAATGCAATACAAAAATCGAATGTAATGTAGTTTACCCTTGCAGAAGACTGCTGCTACACACGCCGGCCAACCCGCCCACACGCACATGTGCAAACACCTGACTGGCCAGTCAAAGTCCAAGAAAAACGTGCTTAACGGCTGAACCAACTGGCATAGTCTTCAATAGTCACCGAACCGCTGTTAAACTTGATTCGATGCAAGCACAGAAGTGCAGACATTTGCAGACTGTCTCGCAATGCGTGCCCAGCGTCCAACCGCCTTTCTGTCTCCTCTTGGCTGAACACCAAGCCGCTGATGTCGAACTTGCCGTTGAATGTCTCTTCAGCCTCGCCCCAGCACGAATCAGACGCCGCAGGCCAACCGCCCCATTGCCGCCCCGTCGGAATAATCGCCAAAAAAAACCAAGCCGGGGCCCGTGCAATATGAACCGAGGAGACATCAACATCGTTGGGCACGCCCAGCTCGCGTGCCAGAGATTTGCCGTGGGACAAGTACCACTCCACTGGATACTCTTGGGGGCAGTCCATCACCTCATTTTTGGAAAAATCAAAGCTAGCACGCGCTGATATTTCACAAGACACTGCTCGCAGCCACCGCTCTTCACATTGAAGCCCAGGTTCTCCGTGCGCGAGCGCCTGCATGAGAAGGGCCGTCTCGATGTCTCTCTTGTCCTGTCGCGATGTTTGCTTGTCTTGCTTGCTGATCGGATTCTTCGCTTCTGTTCCTAGCGGTTCTAGCCACCCCACATGCTTAGCCTG